ACGGGAAGAAACACCAGCGGGGACGTGCCTCCTCGTCCAGCTCTGTCCCCAGCCCGCCTCTCGTCTCTGCCTCGGGTCGCGGGTGCCCTCCCGCGGGGCGCCGCCTCCTCGCCTCCCCCGCCGCCCCCCAGCGGCGAGCGCGGGGCCCGTGGCAGCTTACAGCCCGGCCTGCCCCGGGCTGCCGCGCGCGCTCGGCCTGGAGGGCCGGAGCCCCCTCTGCGCCCCGAGGTCTGGCTCGAGTCGGGCACGCCCCTCTGCAGGGGGAACGCTCAAACATAGTCAAAAGATAGTCAGGGCACGATGTGTTGCTTTATATATACACATATATATAAACACACACAAATATACATATATATATATACGTGTGTGTGTGCGTGTGTTTTTCGAAATTTTGGAGTGTGGTTTGACCATTTTCGAATTTTCCGCCTGTAGGGGGACATGCCCGACCTAAGGCCGGAGCCCCTTTGCGCCCCGATAGTTGTTTGGCCTCGTGCACGTCCGTCGTGCAGGCCCGGGCGCCAGTGGTGTCGTGGACTTGGCAGCGCCAGCAGCTGCAGCGCAGTGCTCCCCCGAAAAGGTTGAGGCAGGCATGACAGGGTCCGTTTTGATCCGCTCGCTCGTTCCGGCTCGATTTCAGTCGGGCGCGTCCCTCTGCAGGAGGAAGACTCGAAAATAGTAGCAAAAATTGTTTTTGACCATTCCGGTTTCATCCGCCTGTAGGGGGACATGCCCGACCTAAGACTCGATCTGGCCCGATCCGAGACTCCGCTCCAGTCTTCTGGCGATGCGGCTCGACTCCGATGTCTGCACGGCGTTGTCGTGCAGCTTGGCTGCGATGCAGATGTCGTGCCGATGCCGCACGATCCGTCGCACATTTGATCCGACCCGATTCTCAGATTCGATATTGGTTCCCGAGCTTGTTTGTAAAGGCCTGGGCGACAACGGCTTTGATCGGTCCTCTCCCTCCCCCCCCCCTGGATCCCGTCACGTTATTTCGCCTATATACGCAAAGATTTCCCTGCGGATTCTTCGAGCATTTCCCAATATTTCCGTCGGCCCCCGCCGTGATGGGATCGGGGGTGGGGGGGGCGAACTCCCCCCCCCCATCCCCCGATCACGCCCATCATCGCGAATACGAAAACAAACACAGCATCCATTGCTTCTGAGAGTTGAGAGGGCACCGATCATGTTCATCAAAATTATCACGTCGCACAATCACCCTCCAAGCAGATCGTCAATCTTCTCGCCGACCCCAAGCCGTTCCGCCAGTTCGGCAGTGCCCCCGTATTTCGTCCGCAATTCAATCGACTGCACCAGGTGATGTTTGGCAGTGGTTATGGGATGCGGCCTGGTCGCCAAGAATAAAATATACGCCAAGTTGCCGAGCAATCAGAACGAGATCTTCGATCAGCGTAAGTTTTCGACCGCACCCTGGTGTGCAGCGACAAAGAATGCACGTGGACGTCTCATCGGGAAGCAGCAACCACGTTCGGCAGGTAATCGTTGCTCGCGCTGGCGCTCATTTGAAGCCAGGGGCACCGACATGTAGATCACAGGTGTTGACGCTGCTGCCTTTAGAGGCATATCAATCTAGCGGCGCGCGTGGCACGTTCCCCGCTCAGCTAACTTCGAGCTGGCATGGCCAACAGAGAGGCATGCGCACAAGGACGTGCACATACCGTTTGGTGAAATTCGTTATGAATGTAGTTTGTACGTCCGTAATGAGTGTTGATTTCAGTGCGCTGCGGAGGCAAGATCCAGTTTACCAAGGACTGTTTTTTCCTTGCCTTACCGTGCAGCGCGCGCGCTCAGATGTCCCATTAGTGTCGCACCCCGTTGGTGTCATCATGAATGGCCAACACGGTATCTCAGGACCATGTGCATAGAGCTTCGTAGGTGAGGGTTCGGATCCAGTCTCTGCACAGCTGCACAGCGCGGTGGTCCACCCCCTACGTACCAACGAATTTGTCATACGTGCCAGTTTCCGCGCAGCATCCGCTTTCACGTCCGTTTCGCCTTTCTTTCCCCTTTTCTCGACTCCTGTTTCTCCTGCTGATTCTCCTCCTCCACCTCCTTCCTCGTTTTCCTGCTGCGGGTGTTCCTTCTCTTCCTCGTCCTCCTCCACATCCATCCCCTTTCATCACCCATGCTCCACTATCCATCCCCCCCACCTCACCCCACATTTCTGCTGCGAGATTGCCCTGTCGTCCCTGGGCTTTTCAATCATGCGTTTAAGCAACAGATTAGCACAGCGCCTTGCCGCGTGGGCGTCGTCTACCACGTTGGGCGCTGGTGCTGGATCCTGACGACGCTCCATTCCTGTACAGGTAGGGGGGGGGGGCAGGACAAGGGTGGAGGAGGAAGAGGAGAAGGATGATGAAACCGAGGAGAAGGAGGAATACGGGGACATAGTGGAGGAGGGGGAGGAGGAGGAGGGTTATATGATAAGGAGGAGGAGGAGGAGGAGGAGGGAGGGGGAGGAGGAGGGGGAGGGGGAGGGGGGGGGAGGGGGAGGGGAAGGAGGAGGAGGAGGAGGAGGAGGAGCAGGAGGAGGGGGAGGGGAGAAGAGGAGGAGGAGGAGGATGAGAAGGAGAAGGAGGAGGAGGAGGAGCAGGAGGAGCAGGAGGAGGAGGAGGAGGAGGAGGAGGAGGAGGAGGAGGAGGAGGAGGAGGAGGGGTGTCGGTGCTTTAGGAGGGGGGGGGAGGAGGAGGAGCAGGAGCAGGACGAGGACGAGGACGACGACGAGTAGGTGTAGTGAGCGGCAGGAGGAGACACGACGAGGAGGACGAGAAGACCGTGGCGGGAGGACTGGGGCGAGCGCGAGGGCGATGGGGGAGGAGAGGGCTGGGGCGGAGGACTGGGGCGGATCTTTGCTGCGGCAGCGCGTGCGGTTGATGCACCACCTGCGACAGCACGGGGCAGGCCGGTCTCGCTCTCGCGCTCCGCGAGTCCAGGCGGGCTGCCGCCGCGGAAAAGTGCGGGCTCCCCCTGGGGGGGGCTCGTCGTCGGCCCTCTTCGTCGGCGTCGCGGAGGTCGGGCGCGAGCCCTTGCGGGCCCGGAGGCGGCGGCCCGTGCTCCCGCGGTGGTCTCCCGTGTCGTTTCCCGTATGGCGCCTGCTCTCCCGCACGTGTTCCCGCAGCTCTGCCCTCCCGTGTGGTCTCGCGTGTGTCGTTTCCCGTGTGGGCTCCCAGGTGGTCGCCCGTGCGAGCTCCCGTGCAGTCTCCCGCATGGTGTCCCCTCGTGTGCTCCCGCATGGTCTCCCGTAGATTCTCCCGTATGGTCTTGCGTGTGTACAGAGCTTGCCAATCAGCGTGTATTTAAGCGGTTGAGGGTACATTGCCAGGGCGAATGTGATGGCCCCATGAGGCCGAAGTCGAGGAAAAGCGCCGTGAGTGGATCAACAGCGCATCGCAGTACAGTCGAGAAGGATGAGAAGGATGAGCAGCTCGCGGAGGGTACCTTGGCACCCTTTCGTTTTCGGCGCATCTTCTGCCCCTCTCGCTGGTCACCACCCCCCAGGTGTCCTGGGGCCCTGCAGGTATACCACACGTCCCTATTGCGAGTCGGGGATTTACTCATGACCACTTTCTGGAGGATCGATCCTTGGGGACCTCGGCAGACGGTGGATCTGGACGCATCCAGGCCCTGTAGTGGCCAAGTTCATCCATATCCACCACCTGCCGAGTTCTCCTGCCATCGTGTCCCCAGGCGTTGGTTGTAGATTTAGCCCCCGTCTCGCACCGATGAACCGGTCGCGTTGTGGGAGGGAGGGAGGGAGGGAGGGAGGGAGGGAGGGAGGGAGGGAGGAAGGAGGATTGGGAAGGGGTGGAGGGAGGAGCAGGACAAGAAAGAGGGGATGATAGGGGAGGGAGGGAGGGAGGTAGGGAGGGTCGTCGTCGAACGGTGGCTCAATCACAACGCCTGCAAAGAGAGAGACAGAGAGAGAGAGAGAGAGACAGAGGCGGGCAACGCAGCGAACCCCCTTCTCCACTTCAAAGAGTGCTGGCACCTAAAGCAAGGGAGATTCGAACACACGAAGGGACGGGAGGGAGGGAGGGGCAAGAGTAGCAGGGGGAAGAGGAGCCCAGAGATCCGACGCGGCGAGAACATTAAATATCACGTGCCGCAGATGTTCGTGCCAGACCGATCTGTGATGGTCCCGGGGCGAGGCCAAGCGAGAGCGCTTGGTGTGCAAAAGTTGCAGCGCCCTGATCTCAGGGAGGAGGAGCTGGAGGATCAGGGATGTGTCCCAGACTTTCGATGTCTTCGTTTTTCGGTGCCGGGTCCTCCGAAGTCCCGACCCGCCAGTGTTTCATCCCGAGTCGTTCTTTGATGGTCCAGGGGCCCAGCGAGAGCCCCCCGAGGCCGAAAGCGGCAAAGACCTCACGCAGTGATACTTGAACGACGAGTGGAGGAGGAGGAGCAGAAGGAGGAGGAGGAGGAGGAGGAGGAGGAGGAGGAGGAGGAGGAGGAGGAGGAGGAGGAGGGTAGGGAAGATGGGGGAGGGACGAGGAGGAGGACGAGGAGAGAGGAGGAGGAGGAGGTGGGAGGATGAGGAGGGCAGGAGGAGGAGCGAGGAGGAGGAGGAGGAGGGAGGAGGAGCAGGAGGGAGAGCCAGGAGGAGCAGGAGCAGGAGGAGGAGGAGGAGGAGGAGAGGAGGAGCAGGAGGAGCAGGTGGAGCAGGAGGAGCAGGAGGAGCAGGAGGGAGGAGGGCCAGGAGGAGGAGGAGGAGGAGGAGGAGAGAGGAGGAGGAGAGGAGGAGGAGGGAGGAGGAGCAGGGAGGAGGAGGAAGGAGGAGGAGGAGGAGGAGGAGGAGCAGGAGGAGGAGAGGAGCAGGAGGAGAGGAGGAGGAGAAGAGGAAGAGGGGAGAAGGAGGAGGAGGAGGAGGAGGAGGGGAGGAGGGAGAAGGGAGGAGAAGGAGGAGGAGGAGGAGGAGGAGGAGGAGGAGGAGGAGGAGGGAGGAGCAGGGAGGGTGCAGGCCGCCGCCCTCGAGGGCCGCGCGTGCCTCGGGGCGGGTCCGCGCGGCAGCGCGGGCCTGCCCGCCCGGGGCACGGCCGCCATGTGGCGCCGGGCACGAGCGCCCGCCGCCGCGCTGCCGCCGCGGTGGCGGCGCGGCTCGCTGCCGGCGGGGCGTGGGCCCGGGCAAAGACTCCTCAGAGATCTGACGACTCCTCCTCCTCCTCCTCCTCCTCCTCCTCCTCCTCCTCCTCCTCCTCCTCCTCCCTCCTCCTCCTCGTCCTCCTCGTTCTCCTCAACCTCCTCCTGCTTCTCCTCCTGCTTCTCCTCCTCCTTCTCCTCCTCCTCCTCCTCCTCCTCCTCCTCCTCCTCCCCATCCGCCTCCGACGCTCCCAACAATTTGGAGCTGCGGGATTCAGGCAGCTGTGTGCCTCTGGGGGCCCTCACTGGGCCTCGCGAGAGCGTCAGAGAACGGCCGACGAGGAGAACCCGGCCCGAGGGGAGTGGTCTGGATCCCCGGGGGCCCACGCCTCCAGGCAGACTCGGCGTGGGTGGAGTGAGGAACTTCCTGTCGGGAACCTTGGGCGGGGCGCCTGGGAGGAAGCTGGTCTGGGGGAGGAGGGGAGCACGAAGGAGCAGGGGGGCGGACGGCCCACGGGACGAGGACGAGGAGGACAGACGAGGAGAGGCCAAGACAGGTAGATGAGTGAGAGAGTCCAAGGAGGAGGAGGAGGAGGAGGAGGAGGAGGAGGAGGAGCAGGAGAAGGAGGAGGTGAGGAGGTCGAGGAGGTCGAGGAGGTCGAGGAGGTCGAGGAGGTCGAGGAGGAGGTGGAGGAGGAGGTCGAGGAGGTTGAGGAAGTCGAGGAGGTCGAGGAGGAGGAGGAGGAGGAGGAGGAGGAGGAGGAGGGGGACTACTGTCAGGAGCGCTTGCTTAGCGTATCGTGTCTGTTGGACATTGCCCATTGTTTTTCGGCGCGACACGCTGACCGCTTCCTGGTCTCCAAGCGTCAGCACCTGGAGCCTTTCCTAGCTTCCCGCCCCGCGGAGCGGGGCGACACGCTATCCGCTCGCAGGGCGTAAGCGTGTCGCTCAGGCCGCCGCTGCGAAATGCTAAGCTACTATTCTTGACCGTACGCATCCAACGTCTCGAACATACACAGTGGGGAAGTTTTCACCGTCTTTGGCCTCAGGAGGCCCTCGCTTGACCGCGGGGCTGTCAAATAATGGTTCAGGATGATGTAGAGCCGACCCTGGGTAAAAGGTCACGACCTCCAGGATCCCCGCATTGAGAAATTCGAGACACGGGAAGTCTGAGAAGCACCGTGACCATGACCAAGACGTCGCGGGACCTTGTCGACGCTGTTCTTGGTCGTTGTCTTTGCCGGCCTGTGCCAATCCGGCGCGCCAGAAAAGGAACTGCTGCCGATACCACGGCCCTTCCCTCGTCGCCACGGCGGGGTGCGCCCCGCAATTCTGGTCGGAGCGCACTCCTGAAACGGTCCCCGGAGTAGCGGTATCGATAGATTGGTGGCCCCCCAGTTTGTCGGGGGCGGAAAAGGGGGGGGGGGATGACTAGGGGGGGGGTGGATATCATGGCGTGGGCCATGATATTTCCCCAGATTTCATGGCGCCTTTTCTTATTTCATTACGTCCCTGCCCCCCCCGCTGGACCGCGCACATGCCGCCAGTCATGATTTGCACCCCCCCCTCTTGGACACCCACCTCTTGGCCGCTCCCGAGTTTGGGGGGGGGGGCGTGGCCGGAGCGAACCGGCGTGGGGCGAGGGAAGGAGCCCGGTGACCATGACCAAGATGCCGGGGGAGCTTGCCGACGCCGGCCTTGGCCATGGTCCACGCCTGCCGTCGCCGATTCGCGAGGACGATCCACGGATTGACGGTGACCTGGATGGACGGTGACCAAGATCGGCAGCGACGTTTCCGCGTTCATTCTTGGCCATGGCCCTCGGGGGCAACGATAGGGGGGATAGGCGAAGGGGGGGGGATGCATCGACCCCCAATCGCCCACTGATCACCGATAGGGGCCCGATAGCCCCTACCTGCCCAGGAAGGTGCAGATTCACTATCGGAGGCCTACCGCCGATCTATCGGCGATGCATCGCCGATTCCAGGTCGACGTTTCCCCCCCTATCCCTACGGTAGGTTCGCGTCGTGTCGACCGGCGGCGGCTCAGAATCGGTCGATGTTGAACAATCTTGACAATTCGGGAACGGCCGATCGTTCAAGGTTGAACGATTCCCGCGGTGCCCGGAACCAACGCCAGGGTCGACACGACACGTCGACTAGACGTAAGAGTGACCTTTCGCCGGAGTGACCTTTGGTGCGGGCACGGATGGATCTCCAGATGGCCGAAAACGACGCAGGAGCAGCGGCTTGCGCGCCCAGGTTGGGTCCCCCCTCGGCCCCCAGAAAGCCGCGCACCAAAGGTCACTCTTACCCAGGGTCACCCTTGCGTGTAGCCGAGACACGGACCTGCCGTATCCCCCCCTAGCGTTGCCCCTCCGGCCCTCGCAGCCCTCTTCCTCTCGGGGATTCGCCCTGGGCGGGTCGTGGGCGGCGGAGTGTCCTCGCGGCGCGGCCGAGAAAGATCGTCGCTCTGTCGGTGTTCGGCCGCCGAGGGGCTCCTCCTCCTCCTCCTCCTCCTCCTCCTCCTCCTCCTCCTCCTCCTCCCCTCCTCCCCCCTCCTCCCCCTCCCCCTCCTCCCCCTCCTCCTCCTCCTCCTCATCCTCCTCCTCCTCCTCCCCCTCCCCCTCAACCTCTCCCCCTCTCCCTCCCCCGCCCCCAGTCCCCGAGAATCAGTACAGTCGAAGCCGATGATAAGGTCGGGTTGCCTTCCCAAGGTTACCCTTACGTCCTTGCCTCTTCGGTCCATCCCAAGCCACTTCCGATGGCGAGCCCAGCTCGAGAAATTTCGTCGTGGATGTCCAAGGCACCCGCATCCTTCTCGCGCATCCTCGCCACCATTGTTGACTGGATACTTCAACCTATCTCCGCCCCCACTGGGCCATGGTACCTCAGCCCCTTCAACCGACCCCCTCCGCTGGGGATAGGCCCCTCGACACCAGGCAGGAAACAGCCTATAACCCCGTCCATCACCAGAGGAGAAAGAACCACCACCACCAGCTAGGGGGGCTGGCCGCTCCCCCTCCCCGAGCTGGTGGCGCCCCTCTTCCGGGCGCGCGCCCAGGGAGTGCCCGGAGCGGAGTGCCACCAGCTCCGGGGATGCGGCGTGCGGCCTGGGAACGGAGTTCTAAGGAGTTCTGGGGGTAGTGTTCTTTTTGCTCTCATGAGTCCAGGGGGTAAATCGGTCAGTGTGGCCAAGGCCACGCCAGTGGGGATCGGGATCGGCGGAACGATGCGCAGAAAAGAGGTCCAGGCATCTGCTGGGAATCCGCGTGGCGAGAAGGTGACGACGTCGGATGTCTGCTCGCCATAGAGCGCATGGGTCCTTTCGACTGCAGGAGTGTCTAATCGAAGAAGAAGAAGAAGAAGAATGCCGTAAACATGAACTTTGGGAGGCGCTCCGCACGGATATCTTGGATCCGCGCTGGGGCCCCCCCGGGCGGCGCCTCCGGCGCCGCCACTGGCGCGCTCCGCGCACCAGGGAGGGGAGCCCGGCGTGGATTTAAGAAATCCACGCAGAGTGCCAAAAGTGTCTATCCGTGCTGTTTTTTCTTCTTCCATACCTAGGCTCTGCCTAGAAGGGTTCTTACTCTCTGGGCTTAAAGGGGCCAGGCAGTGGAAAGCGCCGCGGGCGGTTCCCCCAGTATCCGCCCCGCGGTTCCCCCAGTTGCGCCCAACTTAGCGTTGCTTATTTCATCTTAGCTTAGCTTACCTTAGCTTAGCTTGGCTTAGCTTAGCTTAGATTCGTCTTAGCTTCGCTTAACTGTAGCTTAGCCTAGCTTAGCTTACCTTACCTTAGCATAGCTTGGCTTACCTTAGCTTAGCCTAGCGCAGCGCAGCATAGCGCAGCGCAGCATCAGCACATCATAGCATAGCATAGCATAGCATAGCGCAGCATATCATAGCATAGCATAGCATAGCATAGCATAACATCGCGCATCATAGCATAGCATAGCATAGCATAGCATCACATAGCGCAGCATAGCATAGCATAGCATAACACAGCATTGCTTAGCATAGCACAGCGCAGCATAGCATAGCATAGCACAGCACAGCATAGCATGGCATAACACAGCATAGCACAGCATAGCATAGCATAGCGCAGCATAGCATATCATAGCATAGCCCATCATCGCATAGCAAAGCGCAGCATAGCATAGCCTAGCATAGCATAGCATAGCGCAGCATAGCATAGCATAGCATAGCGCAGCATAGCATAGCATAGCATAGCGTAGCCTAGCATAACACAGCGCAGTCGAGCGTACCCTAGCATAGCATAGTGTTGCACAACCTTGCTCAATGCCAAGTCGTGCGGTGTAGACCGGGTACGTAGCATTCTCAAGCACCCACGGTGAGCGTATTCGAAAACATGCGTGTGTGTGTGTGTTTGCGCGCAGGCAAAGCACAAACAAAATCAAGCAACAGCGAAAACAAAAGCACATCGAAAGCAACAGCAAAAGCAAAAGCAAAAGCAAAGGCAAGGCAATGCAAAGTAAAAGCACAACCAATGCGAACATGTAGATGTAGATGTAGATGTAGATGTAGATGTAGATGTAGGTGTAGATGCGGATGTAGGTGTAGAAGTAGATGTATATGTATGTGTAGATGTAGGTCTAGATGTAGGTGTAGGTGTAGATGTAGATGTAGATGTGAGTCTCGCTGTTGATGTTGATGTAGATGTAGATGCAGGTGTAGATGTTAATGTAGCTGTCGGTGTAGATGTAGATGTTGCTTTCCTAGACGCTCCAGCTCCAAGGTAGGGTCGCACTGGGATAATTATTGCTGTAATTCCCGACCTAGGCTCTGCCTAGAAGGGTTCTTACTCTCTGGGCTTAAAGGGGCCGGGCAGTGGAAAGCGCCCCGGGCGGTTCCCCCAGTATCCGCCCCGCGGTTCGCCCAGTTACGTCCCTTTTAGCTTAGCGTTGCTTATCTTAGCTTAGCTTAGCTTAGTTTAGCCTAGCTTAGCTTAGCTTAGCTTAGCCTACCCGACCTTAGCTTAGCTCAGCTTAGCTCAGCTTAGCTTAGCGCAGCGCAGCATTAGCTTAGCATAGCATAGCAAAACGCAGCACAACATAGCGCAGCAAACCATAGCATAGCATAGCATAGCATAGCATAGCGCAGCATAACGCAGCATAGCATAGCATAGCTTAGCATAGCACAGCGCAGCATAGCATAGCATAGCATAGCATAGCATTGCACAGCACAGCATAGCATAGCATAGCATAGCATAGCATAGCCTGGTATACCATAGCGTAGCCTAGCATACCCTAGCATAGCATTGCATAGCATAGCATAGCATGGCGCAACATATCATATCATATCATAGCCTAGTATCTCATACCATAGCGCAGCATAACATGGCATCGCATATCATAGCATATCATAGCGCATCATATCATATCATGGCATAGTCTAGCATAGCATACCCTAGCATATCATAGCATAGCATTGCACGGCATAGCACAGCAGAGCATATATGTAGATTGAATATCGTTGCTGATGCTGATGTTGATGTAGATGCAGATGTAGATGTACATGTAGCTGTCGGTGTAGATGTAGATGTTGCTTTCCCAAATGTTCCGGCTCCAAGGTAGGGTCGCACTGGGATATTATTAATATCTCTAAGTTCGGGGTGTGTTCTCATCACGTGGTGTTCCGCCACGGAGAGCCTAGTGCCCATCGATCGGCGATGCCTCGCCGAGACCAGGGCGACGCCCCCGCCCCCCTCGGGCCAGCCCTCCACCCTATGGTCCCCCTTCGCTCGAGTGAGAAAGAGGAGGGGGATCTGGCGTAGGAGGAGGAGGCGTAGGAGGAACAGGACGAGGAAAAGGAGAAGGAGGAGGAAAAGGAGGAGGAGGAGGAGGAGGAAGAGCAGGAGGAGCAGGAGCAGGAGGAGCAGGAGGAGGAGGAGCAGGAGCAGGAGGAGCAGGAGGAGGAGGACGAGGAGGACGAGGAGCAGGAGGAGCAGGAGGAGGAGCACGAGGAGCAAGAGGAGGAGGAGGAGCAGGAGGAGGAGCACGAGGAGCAGGAGGAGGAGGAGCAGGAGGAGCAGGAGGAGGAGGGAGAGGGCGGAGGCCGTCGTCGTCGTCGACCGTCGCGCGCGGGGTGTGGGGCTGGGTGGCGCGAGCGCCACACTCTTCCCCTCCGGCCGCTACGAGCCCTGGAGGGCTACACGCCGGTCGGGTGAAAGTAGGCATCTCTGGAAGTCCAGAGCTCAATCCAGACATGATCGCGTCGTTAAGAAGTCAGGTCGGGAGGTTTTTGACCATTTTCGGCCTCGGGGGGCCCTCGCTGGGCCTCGGGAGCGTCACAAAACGAGTCGGGATGAAAAACCGGCCCCAGGGAAAGGGTCGGGACTTCCAGGGACGCCGTCCTGAGAAAATCAGGATGTCGCATGTTTGAGTACTTTCTGGAGGGCTACACGCCGGTCGGTGAAAGTAGGTATCTCTGGAAATCCAGAGAGCTCAATCTACTTTGGGAGCCTCCCTGCTTCAAGAGTCTAGCGGCTGTCCCTCCTCCTTCCTCTTCGGGGGGCGGGCGGGAACCATTTTTTTTTTGTCCCAGCGCCTTCCTACTGCATGTCTCTGCCCATGTCTTCCGACCGACGGGTCATGAGGAGGACCGAGGCAGAGTAACAGGTCCACGCCCAGGCCACGAGAGAGGGCAGGGGACCGTAGGTGGACAAACAAGTGGAGCCTTTGACACCGCGCCCCGCCCCTCCCCCCCAATTTCAGAAATGGTCCCAAGCATGCGGCAGCACCGGCGTGAGTGGACAAAAGAAGTGGAACCCCCAGCAGAGCCTCCGGGAGGCCGAAGCCAATTTTGAAATTGGGGTGAGAGGGGGGGGGGGTCCGCGGGGGGGGGGAGGGGGGGCGAACGCGGGGTCGAAGACGAGGGATGCCACTTTCTTGTCCTCTTGCCGGAGGGAGGAGAGGTGCCAGCGCGGCAGGGGCAGGGTCAAGTCGGGCCTGTCCCCCTACAGGAGGAATATCCCAAAACAGTTTTTGAAAACAGTAGTCGGGGGACGATCTTTTGGCTATTTCTGCACATTTTGGAGTATTTCTTGGTTTTTTGGCTTGTTTGTTTCACAGAAAAAAATAAAGAAAACCTTCCAAAGCCCGCCTGTAGGGGGACATGCCCGACCGAAGGGCAGGGCGGGCGGCCCCCTGCTCCAGGCGCTGCCCCACGGCGCCCCCGCGGCCCACGCGGGGGCGGGCGGCAGCGCATGCGGCAGCCGCTCGCCGCCGCCGCCCTGGGGGCAGGACCGCGGCCGCGGCGGCGGCGGCGGCGTCGACGACGCGTCGTCGGTCAGGGCTGGACCTAAACCGGTGTTTTTGGCCATCTCGCGGGCCGTGTTCGTTTCGACCTCGTTTTGCGGTGAAGGCGACACGGAAACACAACGGAAACGAAAACACAACGGAAACACAACGGAAACGAAACGGAAACACAACGGAAACGAAACACAACGGAAACACAGACAAACCGTTGTCCCTCGACAAACGCGAGGGACAACGGAAACACAACGGAAACGAAGAACACCGTTTAGGTTCAGCCCTGTCGTCGGTCATCGAGGACAGGAGAGCCCCTTAACCTTAAGTCGGGCCTGTCCCTCCACAGGAGGAATCTCCAAAAGCAGTCAGAGAGTAGTCGGGGAACGCTGTTTTGACTACTTTTAGTAATTTGGCTTATTTTTGGTGTGTTTTTGATCTTTCGTCCCAAATCCCCCAATAGCAGGACTTGCCCGACCTAACCTTTACCCTGAGAGCACAATGAAGACGTAGCCTCACTGAGGTCCCCGTTTTTGCATCAGGGATCGTAGATCTGGGCGGTCTGGTTCGATGCGTCTGCAGAACAGGCCCCCCATCCCCTGATGTCCTGGTGGTCCTCCCACCTTAGGTCCCCTCTCGCAGGGTTAAGGGGTCAGTGGTCCTTCTTCTGCCAATCAGTCGGTCTGAAGTTTCTGTTGCCGCTGCGGCCTGATCCGCCCGGAGGTCGTGGTCAGAAGCGTTCCAGCACAGGTCCGGGGGCCGGACTTCGAACACGACAGCGAGCGACCCCGACGGCGACGGCGACGGCGGCGGCGGCGGTGCTATGGGCGAGGGCGAGGAGGAGGGCCGAAGCCGAGGCCCGGGGCTTCGCCGCCATGGTGGGGCCCGTGAACTCGCTGAGCGCCGCCAGGGTGCGGCGGGTGGAGATGCTGCAGCGGGGATGGATGCGCATTGCGTGGGCGGCCAGGGCAGCAGCGAGATACGATGCACACCAGATGCGAAACATTGGCCTCCCACGGGGTGCTCCACGACAGTTCTTTTCCGATGGCACACTGGGCCTGCGCAGCCATGGGGCGCTGTCTCAAGCTCAGGGTCGACGAATGTCGAAGAAAAAAATGGCATAAACATCAAGTCGAAGAAAAAATGCGAGGGTCGACGAATGTCGAATGTCGACAAATGTCGAAGAAAATGTCGAAGAAAAAATGCGAGGGTCGACGAATGTCGAATGTCGACAAATGTCGAAGAAGAAAAAGGCAAACATAAACTTCAGCCGCTCCGCGCAGATTTCTCGGGTCGGCGCTGGGGCCCCCCTGGCGGCGCCTCCGGCGCCGCCCCTGGCGCGCTCCGCGCGCTCGGGAGGGGGGCCCAGCGCGGAGCCGAGAAACCCGCGCGGGCCGTCATCAAGAGTTTGTGCTGTTGCCTTTCCGTTCCTTCTTCCTCCAGAAGGAGCCTATTGAGAGCCTCTTGGGGGCCACTTGGAGGCCTCTTGGGCTCCCTTGGGGCGTCTTGGGTGCCTCTTTGAAGCCTCTTCGGGTGCCTCCTGGGGGCTCCTGGGGTCTTCTTGGGGCCGCGGCCTCGAGATGTCAGCTCGGGTCCCCCGTCTGGGCCCTCCCTTGTCGCTGGTGGACAGAACCCCCAACAGTGACACGTCGATCAGTGAATTGTCCGTTCGCAGATCTCGAGAGGGCACCGTGGCCGTTACTTTCAAGGCTTGCGCCCGCCAGGTTTGGGCCTCGGGTCGTTTTCACCAAACCACGTTTTACTACAGGGAGGTCTGTCCATCCCCGAAATGCTCACTGCAAGATTTCGACTCCTGTGTGCTCCCTGCACACGTGCGGGGGCGGGGCGCTCGAGGAAGACGAGCGGGCCTCGCCTCCGATGGCCTCCAGGCCGTGCCCCCGCTTCCCCGGCGGGAGGCCGGCGGTGGTCAGAGCGGGAGCGGCTCCGCGGGCGAGGGGCCGGCGCACGTCGGCGTGACTTCCGGCGAAGGCATCCGTACACCACCTCCGAGCCAGGCGAGGGCCATCCTGGGCCCCCTACCCAGACCCCCTCGGGTCATGAAAAAATCACGACGGGAGGTTTTTCGCTATTTTCGGCCTCCAGGGGCCCTCGCCGGGCCTCGGGACCGTCAAAAAACGACTCGGGATGAAGAGCCGGTCCTGGGGAATGGGTCGGGACCTCTGGGGGTCGCGTCATGAAAAAATCATGACGTCGGGGGTCTGGGTAGGATGGTGCATAGACCCTCCTGGCCTCGGCCAGGAGGGCGTATACCCCATGCCAGGGCCAGGATGGCTCTGGCTTGGCACGGTGGTGGTGCACAGATTTCTTCTCCGGATGACCCTGGGCCTCCCGGATGGGGTCGGAGCAGATGGGGTCGGAGGATCGTGCCGCATCGCCGATGCATCGGCGATGCGGCGCGATGCGGAGCCCGATGTTCTCCACGCCGGCGTCGCCGATGCATCGCCCACGTCGACGATGCACCGGCGATGCGGCAAGATCCTCCGACCCCATCTACTCGAACCCCATCTAGGAGGTCTCTACTAAACAATGCGCCCGCGAAAGGTTCCAAGTTTTGTTTGTTTCAAGCCTCCCATCCGAGATGGGAATTTCCATAGCCACCGCCTGGGGTGACCGTTCTTCGGGGACCTCGGCAGGCGGTGGATACGGATATGTTGGGGCCCGGAGGGGGGGGGCAAAGGCATCCACACCCGTTGGCTGTCGAGGTCCCCGAAGACCGATCACCCAGGCGGTGGTCATGGACAATTTCCCGCCTCGCAGCTATCATCTGTTCGCGCTGATGGAAGGAGCGACGGAGGGAGGGAGGGAGGGAGGGATGGAGAAGGAGTGGAGAAGGAGGGGAGGGAGGAGCGGGACGTGGAGGAGGGGGGAAGGGGGAGGGAGGGAGGGTCGTCGTCGAACGGTGGCATAAGCGCGAAGCTGGGCTCAATCACAATGCTCGCAGAAAGAAGGAGAGAGAGAGAGAGAGGGAGAGAGGCAGATGGGCGGAGCAGCGAATCCATATATATATATATATGTATACACAGATGTTTATACATATATCTATATACACGTCCACATATAGATGGAGATATACACATAATATACATCTACACATTTGTATATATATATATATACGTATCTATACAAAGATCTCTACAACGGGGGACTGGCTCCGTGGGCCCCCGGCCCGGGACCTGGACCACAAATGGGTGGACGGGGGCTTCCGCGCACAGCTCGGCACCCCCACACCGGCGCCCCGGGCGATCGGACCGCCGTCGCGCAGGATCTGCGCTGGATTCGAGTCGTCCCAAGACGGCCTCCAGATGTTTCAGACGGCTCGCTCGGCGCCTCCAGCGGTCCATCTTGCCCCCAAAACGCCCCGAGAGCGCTCCAGGAGGCCCTCCAAGACGGCTCCAGGAGGCCAAAATCATATTCCCCTTGGATTTTTCAAGGTTTTTGGGGTTCTCGCCCTTGTGGCATTTTGACGGACGGCCCTAGACGGCTCAAGGGGCACTACAAGTCGCCCAAAGACAGCCCAAATGGCCTCCAAGAAAGCCCAAGAGAGCCCCAAGATAGCCCAAGAGGGCCCCAAGACGGCCCAAGAACGCGCCAAGACAGTCCAGGAGAGCCCCAAGAAGTCCCCAAGAGAACCCCGAGAGTACCTGAAGCAGTCCAGCGGCCCAAATTGCCTCCACAACGCTCCGAGAGTAGTCCAGGAGGCCCTCAAAGACGACTCGGGGAGACATCATAACTTCGATTTGAGTTCTGAAGTTTTTTGGGGTTCTCGCCTTTGTGGGCTTCCGGCGGCCCAAGACGTTTCAAGGGGCGCCGCAGCAAGGGGCGCCACAAGTCGCCCAAAGACGGCCAACGAGGCCTCCAAGAAAGCCCCAAGAAGGCCGCAGAGAGCCCAGAAAGGCTCAGCATGGCCCCAGAGAGCCTCAAGAGGACCTCCACGCGGGCGTGAGGAGGCCAACAACATGGTCTGTCTGTTGGTTTATGAAGGTTTCCAGGGCCGTCTTGAACTTGGAAGCCGGCGCTGGGGCAGCGGTGACCCCCACATAAGCTCAAGCGTGTCGACATAGCTTGGGACGACGACATGTGCCGGACCTGGGAGGGCGTCCTCGTTCGAGTCACCCTCATCATCTTCCTCAGAACCAGACTTCTCCTACTTGGATTGACGATCCTACTTCTCGAAGACGCGCAGTTGTGAAGGGGAATGGGGTGGAGTACGGATTCAGAGCTAGTGTGTGTGTGTGTGTGGTGGAGTCCTGGTGGGCCGCTTGAGGCCGTCTTGGGAGCTATCGATCAAATGGGGGTTCCTTATCTAGCCTCTTCCAAGAGCCCTCGAGATCGCCTTTTGGGGCCCTCTCGGGGAGCCATTGGGCGCTCTTGTGGCCGTCTTGGGGGCCTCTTGAACCCCTCTTGGGCCATCTTGAAGCCTCAAAGCGCATCGGAAGCGAAAAGATGCGATGCGGTGCGATCCCCCGACCCCGTCCACAGTCGGGCCGAGGTGGAAGGCGGAGGTCGGTTCGGGCAGGGTACTCTGGTGTTCTTCGTGTTTGCTGGATGTTCTTGTGCATCCTGGGGAGGGTACAGTGGGGCCGCGCAACAAGAAACTGACTGCTTTTCGTCAGGGTACCCCGGATTTCTTCGCTCCGCGCGCTGCGCGGTGCCTTCCGGTGGCCGTTGAAGGAGCTGCTGCGTTCAGGGTGCTCTGGGCCACCCCCACTCGCGTGTCGCGCCTGCGGGCTTCGGGGCTGGGGTTCTTGCGAGGGTTTCTTGCGGCCGCGCCAGCACTGTGTTTTCGGATGCTCCGTCTTTTTTTGGCCGACGGAGGGTCACATAGTCTTGAAGGATGTTATTCTGGCCTAGGTATAAGTCGGGCTTGCCCCTGTACAGGAGGAAAGTTCAAGAATAATAGCGCAAATAGTCTAGGGACGATTCTTGGCCACTATGTTTGGATTATTTTCGTATATATTTGGACTGTTTCTCATCTTCCTTCCAAAATCCGCCTTTAGGAGGACGTGCCCGACTTCAGGCCAGTCCCCCCCCCTATGGTTCCCCTTCGCTTGAGTGTGGAAGAGGAGGTGTGGAGCAGGGAGAGGGTGGAGGTCGCCGTCGTCGAACGTCGGAAACGGCATCCTGCCGTTCTCGCACACGCGGGGCGTGGGCTGGGTCTGGGCTTGAAGGATGTTCTGGCTTAGGTCCGGCTGCACTCGGACCCAACCCAAGAGGCCCCAAGAGGCCTCTTAAGGTGCCTCGGGGGAGCTGCGCCGTGAAGAGAGAAGCAAACGGCGCCTGGCGCGTGGTCGCCTGGGCCCCTTTCCTCAATCCGTAGACGCGCTAACGGTGTGTTAGCCAACGGCAAATTAGGAAGACCAAGTGTAGGAAGGCGTGGTTTATTGTCAAACCAATTGTAGGAACGCGTGGTTCGCATTTTCCTACAATTCGCTGCGTCGTTTTCGTTCGATGCGTTCGCACATTTGACATGTAGGGAAGTGTGCTCGTGATTTCCTACATTTTGTTCTGCGCGAGCTCGGTGTCATAAAAATCAGATTCCCAGCATCGCCGTTAACCAACATCGCCGTTAGCGCGGCCTGGGTCAATGGCGACCCCCGATCCTCGTCGACTTTCGGGGAGGAGGCCAGAAACTTCAACGCAGTTCGAGGCAGATCCAGGCAAATCGAGGCAGACCCAGAACAGCAGCGGGGCAAGTCCAGCGATCGCCGGGGAGGCCGTGAGAAAGTCGTGGAGGCTCCGGCGCGAGTCGGGGGACAGCAGAGGTCGAGCTCTCAACGGCCCAGGGCTGGAGCCCGGGCGGGGAGCGCGCTCTTGTCAGGAGTCCGCGTCGAGCGCAGCTTCGGCGACATGCCCTTGGTATCGCTCGGACGTGTGCATTTTTTCTCGGCGGGGATTACAGTCGGGGCCCTGAAGAGGAACTCTTTTGGTTGGGGAGGGGCTCCGCGTTCCTTCAGTGTTTCACAGCTTGCCGCAGGTTTTCCTTATGCCTTCGATCGGAAGTCGAAGTTTAACTTATGGAGAAAGGGGGCGCCTCGTTCCTGAGTTAGGGTTCCTTAGGCCAACGCCCCGACTGTATTAAGGAGCACCCTGGAGCATCCTGCGAAAAAACAAACCAACGCACGAAACCGAAACAAAGCACAGGGAACGGACGTCCGAGCGATGCCCGGAGCCCTCCCCCCCCCCACCGGGCCGGCAGAGGGAGGGCCGGCGGCGCTCCCCGAGAGGCAGGGCCCCGTCGCTCGCTGCCTCTCGCCGTGGCCTTTGGCATCGGTCGGGCGAGCGTGTCGGGCAGTGGCGAAGCGTCCTGGCTCGCCTCTACAGTCGGGGCGCTGAGGAAGGAGCCCTTTTCGTTGGGGAGGGCCGGCGGTGCTCCCCGAGAGGCAGGGCCCCGTCGCTCGCTGCCTCTTGCCGTGGCCTCGGCATCGCTCGGGCGTGTGTCGGGCAGTGGCGAAGCGTCCTGGCTCGCCTCTACCCATCGGTCGTTGAAAGTAGGTATTTTTGGATTCCCAGATGCCAATCCACTTTCAGCGCCTTCCTACTTCAAGAGTCGAGTGGTTATCCCTCTTCCTTCCTCTTCAGGAGGCGTGCGGAAACCCAATCTATTTCCAACGCCTTCCTACTTCATGTTTCTACCTACTTCTTCTGACCGATGGGTACAGTCGGGGCGCTGAAGCAGGAACGCTTTTCGTTGGGGAGGGGCTCCGCGTTCCGTAAGTGTTTCACAGCTTGCCTCAGGTTTTCCTTCTGATTTTGATGGCAAATCGAAGTTTGACTTATGGGAAAAAGGGGCCTCGTTCCATATTTCGGGTGGTTCCTTCGGTCAGCGCCCCGACTGCAGGCCTGCCAAAGCATGTTCTAGGAACCTTTCTGGTGATTTGCGCGAAGTGCTCTCAGAACATTTCTGGCCGAGACTGTCGCAAATTAGCAAATTAGCGCACGGGGGTTGTGCTATAAGGACCTTGCCTTTGCTCGTAGAACCCCTTTCGGGTTCCGCGAACATGTCGTGGTAGGCCTATGTGAATGCCGGGACGGTCGGTCCCTGCTCGAAGTGTGCATCTTCTCGTTGAGGACCCTCGGAGAGCATGCTGGATCATCGAGCACATGCAACAAAAGCCTCACGAAAGCGACTCACTCACGGGGCATGGACGTTCGAGCGATGGCGGGTGGGGGAAGCGGGTCCGGAGGGAAACGGGTCCTACGGCTTCTCGCCGTGTTCGCGCCCTCGGGGCCCTCCTCGGCCCCCGGGGCCCTCAGGGAACGACGCGGGATGAGGATCTCGTCCTGGGGGAAGGCACTAGGGTCCAGGACCCGTTCCCCTCGGGACCCGCTTCCCCCATGGCGATCCTCCGCGCCGCCGCGGTGCCTGGAGACGGCGTGTCCCAGCCTGCGTTGATGGGCCGATTTTCCACCACCACTACCACAGGTAGGAGAGGGAGGGGGAGGAGGAGGAGGAAGAGGAGGAGGAGGAGGAGGAGGAGGAGGAGGATGAGGCGGACGACGAGGAGGAGGAGGAGGAGGAGCAGCAGGAGGACCTCCCCATCCTCCCTCCTCCCTTGTCCTACCTGTGGTAGTGGTGGTGGACACCCGGCCCTGCCTGCATGATGGTCGCCACGAGCGCGACGGGTACGGCGAAAGCGCCGGAAGAAGGACCGCTTTGGCTTTAGGAGGGGTGCTCCGGCCGTCGGGCCGCGCCTCGAGCCTGGGCCTGGGGGTGCCCGTCGCGGCCGAACCTCGCCGCGGCCAGAGATGCCCCTCCGTTCCCGACGCAGGGCGCCCTGTGGCAGCTTTCTCCTGTCGCTCTCGCATCGAGAGCTCTTTCCCGTGGCTTCCCGTCGATGATTCGATCGGGCAGGATAGGGGCACGGGGGGGGGCACGCAATCTGGTGCATGCAGCTGGTTTCCGCCCCGCCGCCGGGCCCATTCCTCGATGCACGGGCGCCTCCCGGCGTCAGGAGGCGCCAGGAAAACTGGCTACGTGAGCTGCTTCTGCATCCTGCCCTTGACTATCCTACACTTCGGCCCCCCCCGACATGTGAGAGCTCTCTCCCGTCGTTTTCGCGCTGCCGCCACGCGCGGCCGCTGTGGCAGGCCGATTACCCGGACGGCTCCATGTCGCAGCTGCTGCTGGACCGCTGCCTCGAGGAGCGCGGGCCAGCGAAGCTCGCGCACAGGGGAGGGGGGAATCCTGCCCGCTCCCCCTGCCAATGTCCTCCGCCTCCTCCTCCTCCCCCCTCCTCCTCCTCCTCCTCCTCCTCCTCCTCCTCCTCCTCCTCCTCCTCCTCCTCCTCCTCCTCCTCCTCCTCCTCCTCCTCCTCCTCCTCCCCCTCCGTAGCTACTGTGGCTCAAGATTCCATACTGGCGGGCACTGCCCGCAGACTCCCAACGGATACTGCTAGTCCGCGGCCAGCTCAGAAGCGCATTCGTTTTCCTTCTACATTCCCACGCGCTCTTTGACTTGGGTGGTTCTGTCCACTTCACTGTTGCTGAGTACGGATGGGAAATCGCGGCAAGGGCAGTGGAATACAGCCCCAACATGCGCCAGTACCTGCTGGACCTGACCCAATTGCTGGACACAGACGATCAAGCTCCGTCGTTGAATCCCAACCGGACCTTTGGGCGGAGGCAGCTCAGAAACATGCGGCCAGCGGCCCCCCTGCACACCATCGGAAAATGTTCAGGAATTTTGTCCAGCAAAAGTCGGCGCTGCGTCTGCGGCCTTCGCCATCACAGCCGAGCAGGTGCGCACCGACGCCCAGATCCAGTTCTTCGTTTCCATCACAAAGACCACGGCGGAGCTTATCACGCGTCAAGAAAACGTTGAACTAGACTTCGCCTGAAGTTTAAAGCCGTGCAAACAAGGCCGACGCTCTCAACCCTATCCTCGCCGCCACCGTCGCCGACATCAAGAAGACGTTGGCTGCCGCAGATGCCATGCACCCAGCCTCCAACATCGACTCCATCGGCACATGGGACTGGGCCCCTCACGGTGGCACGTTCTGCTGTGACGCTACCACCTCGTACAGCAATGCCGCGCTCAAGGCGCCGATTCTGGAATGGCTCATTGCCGCTCGAGATCGATTCCATTACCATCAAGGCCAACGACCTTGGCAAGCAAGTGTTTTCTACTCTCAATGGCGGTGATCTGGTTGCCGTTCCACGTGCTCATGCTCTTCACACAGCGCTTCACATGGTCAAAGTTTGAAGATCCGTGTGCGACGTGAACCACACTTCGTATCTTCTGACGAATCTCAGCGGAGTCTTCGTCAAGATGCCCTACCCAAGATGCTCAGCAAGCTCAGGAATGCGAAGTTCACCCACATCGCGCCGAGGATCCACCACACGAGCGGCTACCTTTCGGTCCAGAATATGCTGTTCGTGCGCGTCACAGCTGGTGCATCCCCCGACGAGGCCAGCAGCGCTCGCTGGTCTGATGTGGCCGCGCCTGCTGGTATCGACTCTCACGCTCTAGATGTCCTGGTGGCTGAACTTGGCGCAGCGCTCGCGCGCCCCATGGCGTCCGTGCAGTGGTTTTGACGGAAGTGTGACCGCATGTCTGCTCAAGGCCTCTGGAGACGGGACGCAGATCGCTCCTTGGAGCTATCGGGGCCCGACGCGGCATCAAGACGCGCATGCTGCCCCCCCCCCACCCACCCACCCACGCATGCGCCAGGGAGCCGTTCTCGCCAACGAGGAGGCACGCGGGAATTCCAGCGACCTCCAGATGTACGCCGAGTTCACGCCCCACCTCCTAGTAGGCCGTCCACTCGGCGTCCAACGGCAGCTCCGAAACGGCAGGCGGGGTCGCGCTTCCCGTTCCGCCTGATAAGCAAAAACGTGGATTCTTTGAACATAATAATTCATGGGTCGACTTCTTCGAGATCGTCCTTGTTCGCATCGTCGGGCTCCGCTTCCTGAACACTGAACACGTCGCGCCAGCTTGAGACTGCCATCTCTAATGTCCACAACCCCGATCTCACAGCAGGCGGCCGCGGCAAACTCATTGCAGCACGGCAGGCAGGTCAGGCGAGAATATCGGCGAAACCCTCGACGAAAACAACCTGGCCTTCTTCGGCGACTTCAACGCGTCCGAGCTGCCGCCCAAGAGCTTTCAGCGCCTTTCTGACGCCGGCGCCGCAGCTCGCTTTCAGCATCAACCTGGCCACTTGTAGAACATATCAAGCTCCGTCATCGAGGTCGCTGCTCGGTCGGCGACCCACCGCAGCGTGGCTAACCAGACCGAAGCA